GTGTATACACACACACACACACACACACCCACACCTGTGCGTCTGTCTCTGCAGGAGGAGGACGGCGGTGGCGGTGGCAGGGGCGGCGGCCTCAGACCTCTACGCTCTCCTCCTGGACTCGGATTCCCCTCCATGAGTCAGCTGACCAACAACGACAGCATCAGCAACTGGCTCCGCCTCCTGCTGGAGGCCGACGAAGTCTCAGGTGAGGTCCCAGGTGAGGTGAGGTTTTTCATTTTCAGACTTTAATTCAGTTCAAATTAAATACAAACATTTAAAAAAACAGAAGAAAACTCTTTAGAGTCTGAACCTCTTTAAATATTCATCAAATCAAAATAAACACGAGCTGCAGGCCGACACCACCAACAGACCAAGTCTACGGTCACCCTGCAGGTCAGTTCTGATTGGTTCTGATCCGACCCTCTTCTGTATGTGGATATAAATCAGATATGTATCTGATGTGACTGCAGTGTGACGCTCAGGTCGCGTTTATCCGACCTTTACGTCATCAATATGAGACAAACGTCACCGTTGATCGACAACACAAACAGGAGCGGAGAGATATTTGTGTTCATGTGGGTCACTTCACGGACGTATTTGTTGTTGTAATGTGAACGACCAACAAAAAGATCGGATTGAACAAAAAATCAGAATTGTTCATCAGAACCTGCAGAGTGAACGAAGCTTCTTCTGTATCAGACGGAGCTGTTTGACGTGTTTCGAAGTTCTTCCACCTTCATCACGACCATCATGTGACTCTGAAGGTGGAGGAGTCGGTGGAAATGTGTCGGGTCAGAAAGAAAACAGCTCCGTCTGAAACAGAAGAAGAAAAGTGATGATCTAAAAAGAATAAACTTGATTCCCTCAGACTGAGATCATCACATTCCTGTTTTTATTCGACACTCTGACCCGGTTTTCGTCCTGTGGATCTGGACTCTGATTCAGTTTTTCTTTCTCTTAGATCTGGGCTCTGATGACCAGCAGGTTCCAGTGTTCTCGGACCAGCTCCTGTGGAACCCGTACTGAACCATGGTGGATCAGTGGGTGCGGTCTCTGGTCTGGTGTGGGTCCGGTTCTCCTGTTCGTTGGTCTTTTTAAGATGATTGAAGGATGTGATTGGTCGGTTTCTGGTCGATCAGCCCTCCATGGTCTTCTCTGCTCAGAGGACTGATGGGAACCTGAAGGCTCCTGGTCAGGTGTGGTGGTGGTGGGGGCGTGGTCTTGCGTTTCCACGGTGATGTTTGTTTGTTTGTTTGTTTTCAGCACTTGTTGTTCTCGATGATCCTGCACTGAAGGAAAATCTGTTTTTTTTTTTGTCCTTAAACTCACTGATTTAGTTTCTTTAAAGCTCCACCCCTTCAGGTCTCTACTGTCTGTTCACCTTCACGCTCCACCCGCCCACCTGTCATGGTCGTCGTCGTCGGGCTCGTCCTCCTCTGGGCCGCCATGTTTTTTCTCAAAAACTGAACCCTGAGCGTGGAGGAGGAGAAACGGCCGTGTCTTTGTGTTTTTCTTTTATTTTTGTGTTTCTGAAGTTTCTGTCGTTTGCGGCGCTTAAATATGGAGAGCGAAGCTGAAAGATGAAGATGTGATTAATAAAGATGTAAATAAAGTGTGAAAAATTCTCACTGCTCGCTCTTCTTCTTTGTGCACACACACACACACACTCACACTAACACACACACACACACAGGAAAAGTAAACTCTCTGAATTTCTCGTTTGAAGCTAAAGTGAAACTTTAATTCTGTTTTCATCCATAAAATGTCCTGATTACTCCGAGAATTTATCGTTCTAAAAACTGCAGGTTTGATTTTCAGGTTTGAAGTGAAAGATTCTGTATTTTATTACTTTAACTTTATAACCTTTACCTTTTTATAACACCGCCATACATCATAAAAAAATAATAAAATACATCTACTTCAAAAACAGTTCAGGAGGTAAAAAGCATTAAAGATGATTTAAAAGGTAAAAAGAAAAGCACACGTCAGTCAGTCCAGTATTTTTGGCTTGAACAGAGGGTGATGTGCGGTTTGTTTACCAATGAAAGACCCCGAGATGAAGCGTAATAATAAAAATCTACATCATCTGATATCAGAGACACTTCTCTCCTAGATCCTGGGATGAAGGAGTTTTTAAACCCGTTTTTTGTAGCTGTAGGAACTCTCAGCCGAAGGTCAGAGCTTCTTGAAGAACCTTCACACCGGGACAAAAGTCCTGAAACTCTGAATGAAATGATGAAACTGCTCCTCAGGTGCTCTACAGGTCAAACCTCTGACATGATCACAGCGGACATGTTCGACCTCCTGGGGGGACGGAGGAGACACCTTTGGTTTATAACTCAGGGGACCTAAACCGTCTCAGTATCTCCAGCAGAAATCTCCAGTTCTCCGTGGAAGAACCTTCAGTTTCTGCTCTAGAATATTCGAGATGATTCATCCGGAACCACAAACGAGAATTCATGTTTCTGTGTTTACAGAGAGAAAATCAAACTCAGAGTGAAGACAGAGATTTCTGTCAGCTGATGGTCTCCTCCGTCCACATGGTGTGCTGCTGCAGTGACCGCGTGTGTGTGTGTGTGTGTGTGTGTGTGTGTGTGTGTGTGTGTGTGTGTCCTGTAAACACCCCTCTTTCTCGGTTTTTCCTCCTGTTTGTCTGTTTTCGGACTAAAACCAGCAGAGTTGACAGACGACAGGATCACCGCTGCCGCTGTAAACAACCTGACATCAGCATTAGACTACAACTCCCATCATGCCCCAGCGCCTGTCCTTTCTGCAGCCTCCTGAATTAGACTAGTTATTGTTTTATTTCTGTTTTGATTCTCTCCTCCTCCTCCTCCTCTTTGGACAGGTGTGAAGAAGAAATGATGAAGAAAATAAAGAGAGAGGATTATAGCAGGTGCACGCGCTGTGGTGATGAAGAGTAGCACCGCCCTCCTCCTCCTCCTCCTCCTGCCACCGTAAATGTTATTTATGAATGCCTGCCGCTCACGGGCGTGTGCACGCTCGCTCGTTATTATGATGTTTTAATCATCGCTGCTCACTGGACTCTGGTTTCGGTCGAGTTCTGGTTCCGTCCCAGAGCCTGCAGAGCCCGCTGAAGGCGCTTCGATCCGGATTTAATTCATTGTGAAGGTTCGGTGCAGACAGCAGCAGCAGCGGCAGCGGCAGCAGCGGCAGACGGAGCGGCGCGTTCTGCTCTTTAATAACACTGGGTCAATACACCGCGCACCCACCGCCGCTGTCTGCCGGCCCGCCGCATCATTGGAGCCGCCTCACCGCTGCACCCGAGGAGCTGCCCGAGAAGGTAAGCACCCAGCCGGCTGACACTGGGTGGAATTAGGGCTGGTTTGGCGGTTCTGTGTCTGTAGAAGCGAGCTGGTCCAGGCTGATTCATCCCGCAGCATCCCATCGTGTTTTCCTCCTGCCGCGCCGCTCGGAGCGTTCACAGGCCGGACGGACGGTCTCATCATCCCCGTCAATATTGTCACTACATGTCGCTGTTTGTGGCTGTAATTAAGCATTTTGGTTATTCGTGTTTATTCGTGAATAAACTCTGTGAGCTGGAGGCTGAAGGACAGATAAAAACGGGAACACCTGCTCCGATACTCTCTGGGTTTGTTTGTTGGATCACCGCGGCTAACGCTGCTAGCCTGCTAACGCTGCTAGCTGGCTAACGGTTTATACCGCCCAGACTCGCTGGCCGTGTTCTGTATTAAATCTGGTTAGTCTTTTGAATCCCAGCAGCTAACATGAGTGTGTTTATCACAACATTATAACATCTTTTTCCTCAGATGGGTGGGTGAGTCATGTTTAGGATAAAAGCTGTTAAAACACTCGCGCCTCCGCCAGCCTGGTCTGTGCCGCTCGTACCGCAGCATGTAAGCGAATCTGCCGCTCGCAATACACAATGATCGGGGGCGAAGTATCTCGCGCGTCACATCGCCCGCTCTGTACGCTGCTAGCCGGCGAACGCTGGGCAGGTCAGTTAGCCACCGTTAGCTAGCTGCCGCTGCTGCCCCTGGATGCAGACAGACGGCCGGTCTAGCCGCCTGTTAGCCCCGCAGTCCCGGGGCGCAGAGCGGCATGAGCCCCCGGAGTGTGTGAGGCTGTGCTGGGGGGGACACTGCTCAGTCTGCCGCTCTGCTTCTCAGAGCAAAATGGCTGAAAATATTGTGCCGACCTTGAGAGTAATAACGAGATGACATATTATTTATAGCAGGCTAACCGCGCAGGTGATGCTGAGCTGCTGCGCGGTGATGTAACCTTTAATAATAATAATCAATAATCAAAATTAGAGTTATTGTTTTATTCTTCTACATCCACCTTATATAGAAAAAACAATCCTAGTATGTTTGACACTGAGAGTTAACACCCAAATGATCGATCTATAAATATCTGTTAGCATTCCTCATTGAATACAATAGGATCCAATAACGACATGCTAGCAGCGGCCTCTGGTGTTTTGAAGAATTCTGTTTCCTATCGAGATGTATCACAAAGCAGCACTGCGCATGCGGGCGTTATCACCAGCGGAGACATATCCCACTATTACACCTGAAATCTTCAACTATAATTCCATCATGTAATAATTAAAATGCAGACTTTATTTGTACTGTTCAATTACGGTTATTTTTCACGATAAAAACGCGCACTGACAGCCTCTGCTGTGGTAGCATTTTTTGTCAGAACACCGGCTCTGTTCGGGCTGAACAATGGCTTCCTCTGCCAGGGACAGCCTGTCATCTCCAAACACGGAGGTCTTTATTTTAGTATTGGACCGGGACCACCACTCAACACACACATGAGGGGGTCTCTGCTGTGGGGCCCCTGACCTCATGAGCTCCAGGGGCCAAAACTCTCTGACATACAGACCTCACAGGTGGAGAGAGCACATGTCACATGACCAGGGTTCAAACACAAACAGCTGATTTATACCTTTAAACGGAGACCTTAACTCTTCATCAATCTGTCCTTTCACTCTTTCTTTCATTATCAATCATTATGATTAATGTTAATCTTTCTACAGCCTCACTGACTGACAGACGTTTATCAGTTTATTAGTTTAATGTTGATAAAATGAGATTTAAAGCTGCAGTGGAACTGAAAAAAGAGAGAAAACACTAAAAATAGAATTAAAGAGAAATCTCTGTTCAAGGTCTCACACCTTCATGGTCCTCATCCTGGTCCTCCGATCTTCTCTCACCGACCCTCTGGAGACCTTAGTGGACCCAGCAGACCAGGTTCTGGAGACTGCTCCACAGTTCAGGGTCTCCTTGGTCCTGTTTTTGGGGTCCTGATGGTCCAGATGTCACATCAGTCCAGGTTCTCAGAAGGACTCCTCTCCTACAGAACCATGCTGTTGTCAGAATCTGGTTCTGGATCATATGAAGGTCTTAGAGTCCTGGTCCTGGATGGACGCAGATGTTCCTCCTAAACCTAAAGATCTTGTTCAGTATTGATGGAGCCTTCACTGATGACCTGGACTCTGATGATCTCCAGACCATCAGATATGCTGGATCTGGACTGGGAGCTGAGACCAGGTCTGGTGGACCCCGTAGTCTTTAGAGAGGAGGATCTTTGGTTCCCTTAAGAGGGTTAAAGTCTCTGCTGGTTCTGGATCCTGGTTCTGTCTGGTCTCCTCTTTCATTAGTGATGGTCTGATGATGGTTTTTGAAGCGATTCTGAGTCCATGAGGTGATTCCCACTCCAGAGTCCGGTCTGTTTTTAAAGATCAGGACCATCCAGTCCTGGTTCTGGTCCTGGTCCTGGTCCTGCTGAATGATCTGATCTTCTGTAGACGATGAAACTGTTGAACTGTAGTCCTGAACCTCTGAGAGACTCCGCCTCTCTGAAGGTCCTTCTCAGACCCGGTCATGTGACCTGGTCATGTGACTAACCTGTTGGACCTCATTAATTAAAGATGTTTGTTTAGTTAACATCACATGACCTTTGACCTGTTTGGTTCAGGGTTCGACAGTGCGACCGTTTCACTGCGACCAAAAATCGACGTGTGCGAATAAAAAAAATCAACAAATGTTTTTTTCCTGTAAATACGGCGGTGAAGTTAGTTTCAGGTTGGATATATTTTCCTGTAAATACGGCGGTGAAGTTAGTTTCAGGTTGGATGTATTTTCCTGTAAATACGGCGGTGAAGTTAGTTTCAGGTTGGATATATTTTCCTGTAAATACGGCGGTGAAGTTAGTTTTAGGTTGGATATATTTTCCTGTAAATACGGCGGTGAAGTTAGTTTCAGGTTGGATATATTTTCCTGTAAATACGGCGGTGAAGTTAGTTTCAGGTTGGATATATTTTCCTGTAAATACGGCGGTGAAGTTAGTTTTAGGTTGGATATATTTTCCTGTAAATACGGCGGTGAAGTTAGTTTTAGGTTGGATATATTCTCCTGTAAATACGGCGGTGAAGTTAGTTTCAGGTTGGATATATTTTCCTGTAAATACGGCGGTGAAGTTAGTTTCAGGTTGGATATATTTTCCTGTAAATACGGCGGTGAAGTTAGTTTTAGGTTGGATATATTTTCCTGTAAATACGGCGGTGAAGTTAGTTTTAGGTTGGATATATTTTCCTGTAAATACGGCGGTGAAGTTAGTTTTAGGTTGGATATATTTTCCTGTAAATATGGCGGTGAAGTTAGTTTTAGGTTGGATATATTTTCCTGTAAATGCGGCGGTGAAGTTAGTTTCAGGTTGGATATATTCTCCTGTAAATACGGCGGTGAAGTTAGTTTCAGGTTGGATATATTTTCCTGTAAATACGGCGGTGAAGTTAGTTTCAGGTTGGATATCTGACGGACATTCACCGAGGATCTATCGGTGTCTTCTCAAACATTATTGATCAGTTTTCATTGATCCTCTAAAGTTAGAGTCGATCCCTGAGTCGAACCCGTTTGGTTGTTCCTCTATCAGAACTTTTTAACTCGGGTTCAAACATGTTTTTCTGCCGTCGTCGTTTTAACCTAATCAGAGATTTTTCATCAATCAAAAATATTGATCCTTTTGATTGATCTGTTTTCAGATATAAACTGTCTTTGAGCGTCTGTGGTTTTGATCAGTGTCTCCTGAAGATCAGCGCTGACTCCGATTCCTGAGTGTTTTCCTCCTGCTCTGAAATCGAGAGCGTTTGTGGCGTTTTCTAGACTCTTAATTGGACCTCGTTAAAACCATGTGACCCTGTGACCCTGTGTGGTTCTGTCCTCAGGGTTCGACTTCATGGTTCTGATTGGTCAGACGGACAGATTGTGAAATAATTGATCCAGGAGTGATTTTATCTTCAGTTGATCAACTTTTATTGTTTGTGCTTCAGAATTGATCCTGATTGGACGAGTTCTCTTGGTGATGTCACTCACCTGTGATCATCGCTGGCCTCTGATTGGCTGCAGACTTAGACTGAATAATTGAAAACACTCATGTGACTCTGTCCTCTGCAGGTGCGTTGCCCGGGGCAACAGCTTACTGATGATGTCCTTGTGAGAGTAGGCGGGG